TTTTTTTTTTACTTTTTTTAAAAGATTTTATTGGGGAATTGGGGGAAAGGGAGCAGACAAGTTGCTGTCCTTCTGCTCTTCAGTCTAGTTGTGGAGGACGTCGCTTCACTGGCCCATGTTGGCATTATCATTGCGCTCTTCCCGGGTGAGGCAGATTGGTCACTAGCCACTAGACGGCCACTCATGGCAGCTCTTGTCAGCTCACACTGGCTGCCAGCCACTCAGAGTAGCTTTATGACAGCCCACTGCAGCCCCACTGCAGACTACGCCGTGGCCGGCAACTTGCGGCAGCCCAGCTCCAGGTTGAGCCATTGTTTACCATCTCAGCTGTACAGGGCGCAGCATCACTGGCCCTAATGTGGGATCCGAATCAGGGCCCTTTGATCAGAGCTGGCATCCCAAACCAACTCCTAACCAATGCACCACTTGGCCGGCTCCAGTGGCAAATTTCAACAGGCTCTGTAAATTTGATGGTTGTAAAAATCTACATATCAAACTGGAAGTTAATAAAATGGTTTATATTAATAAAACAAACTCATAAGTTCCTACCTGGATCTTGACTATGCTTGAGTTTTCCAAGAGCACCTGCTAATGATGACACTTCACACTTGTACGGAATCACAGTTAGAAATTTTCCATGTAGCATAAACAAGTTTTCCCCATAATACCAGAGCTACAAAACAAGTTATTAAAAATATAAGCCTTTTTCTTCTAAGATCTTATTCAACAAAGCCATATACCTTATAACGATAAATTATGGGGTGAGCAATCTTAATATAACAAAAAGAACATGAGTTTAAGCAACTTTCCAGAATAATCTTGTATGTACAACTTATTAATTGGGTAGCTTTACATAGTTCTTATTTTTGCTCACACATGAATGAAGCATAATTTAAAGGAAACCCTCGACTCATGAAAATTTGACCAATACATAATTTTTTTTGTTTTTTAATTTTATTGGGAAACAGCCACGGTCATTGGTTACACATGGCTTTCATGCTACAATGGCACAGCTGACTCTTTTAGGGAGGGCACAGCTCATAGTGGCCCATGCGGGGACCGAGCTGGCAACCATGCTCTAACCAACTGAGCTAACCAGTCACCCCCAATATATACATTTAAAAATAACAGTTTAAAATTAATATTGTCACTATTACATGTCTATTAACATGATAATTAAATTACCAAGGCTACTGTAACACGGGCAAACTGTTATGATGTACTAAATTAAAAAGGCAGAATTTAACATTGTTCCTATCTAATGATTTCCAATTATAAAACTATAAAAATAAAAGTTATATGAACAAAAAGTTTAAGGGAACATGGAAATCAAAAATAAGTGTTAAAGGGAGCATTTTCTCAATCTGTTGAGACTTTGCTTCATGGCAACTGTCATCAGTTTGACTCAAAAAAACTCTTATAAGCTTTCCAAAAAAAAAAAAGTATTAAAGCAGTGGAACTGAGTAGTGAAATTTGTTAAATTATTTGTTTAAATATTAATTAGAATTAAATTGTATGCTGAAAAACCGCATCTCTTTATCCTCTAATTACAATTATCAGGAACTTCCTATTATCTTGATTTACATATTTGTATGTGAATATTCATTCACTAAAGGACCAATACTTATTGAGCAACTTTGCCAGACACTGAAGATACAATGGAGAACAAAGACAGACCCCTACTGCCTCAGGAAGTTTACAGTCTAGTCTGCTTAAATATTAATTCTTTAAGTATGGTTATGTAATTCCATGGTAATGTTTAACATAACCTAAAAGACTAATTTATTAAGAAAAGTAACAGCCCTGGGGTATAGTTCAAAATACAAAAGTAAAATGATCAAACCAAAGAGCAGCTAAAACCAAGTTGTTTAACTAGCTAATGTTCTCCCGGATCTAAAACTAGCTATAGTCTTTTGAAAGTGACAAACATAAAACTATTAAAACAACAACCAAATTAAATATAACCTTTCAGGTAAAAAACATTTCTTAGCTTATTTTAATAAACAATTGCCAAAATATTTAGATCCAAAGAGGTCTCCTCACTTACAGTATATTAGGCACAAAAATAAGTAAATTTGAAAAAATCCCCAAGAGTAAAAACTTACTTGACCACTGGTCCCTTGTGGTAATTCTTTTGAAATCTGTAGTGTTTGAAACTTTGTGTTCCATATGGAGAGGCATTCTATAAAAGACACATAAGTTCAGAAAAATCGCAAGTATAAATAAATATATGATGCCTTCTGTTGGGGGTATTGGGGAAAGCCATAAACACACAAGTCTTGCTTTATTAAGTATAAAAACGAGTAATGACAATAGTGATTGCCACAGAAATTCAAAGGAATTAGATCTTATGACAATAAGAAAGTATCAGTATGGGGGCAGGGCACATGTGGGATATCTGGGTACCGTCTCAATTTTGCTGCAAAGCATAAACTGCTCTATAAAAGTCTTAATAATAATCTGATAGGGACAGATCTCTACCTCAGGTAAGGTAAAACTCAAACAGCAGTTACTGGGTTTTTTGCTGGGAAGAGCAGGAAGGAACCAGAAAGAGGAAGGATGGGAGTTGAGAGAATCACAGCATGGTAAAGTGGGTAAGAGCCAGGACTTAAAGTGAGGTGGGGAACATGGCGTGATAGTCAACCTGCTTGGGCCAAATTCCAGCTCACTACTTAGTTACCTAACACCTCAGTTTCCTGATTTGCAAAACAGGGAAGATAAAAACTATATTTTGTCTCATAGGCTTGTTGGGAGGATTAAATGATACAAATGAGATAACTTAAGTAAAATGCCTGGCACATATAGCTACACTATGACTAGCAGCTCCTATAAGTAGGAGAAATATAACAACAAAATACAGAGGTAAGGATGGGCACATCAAGTTTGCAGCCAATAGGGAGCCTGGCCTGAGTGAAGCAGACGGTTCTTGCTCTGCAGTTGGGAGAAGAGACTGGAAAAGGCAGATGGGATGGGGTCTATAGACTGTAGGGAGGCCTGACTGCTAAACAACAAATCTGAGTATTATAGTGTGAGGCTGGGAGACCCCAATCTTGCACTAGCCAGGAACAACTGTGATTTTCATGATAGACTACAAGTCAGTGTATGTGGAGCGGTGTTTGGGGGTGAGGAGGCGAGGTGATGATAAGAATCTTGCTCTAAAGTCACAGAGAAGAAAAAGATACTGGTAGTCCTCAAATTTCAAGCTGTCCCAGTCCAGTGAATTTCTATTCTGTGAAAATGTCGCCAAGCTACGAATTTAATCCTGTAGTGCAAGGCTTACCAATGTATCAAGTGCCTATGGGTTGGCATGGATATCTGCAGTTTTTATTTAAGACATTAGTCATGAGCAAGGTAGTGATACAAGGAAATGTTTTAGGAGGACTGACCAATGCAAGATGAAATCAAAGACCTATTCAAGAAAAACTAGGAAGTGAAAGAAATAATTTGCATATCGTGATAAAGAGAGTGAATTAGGGTGGTAATAAATAGAGGAGAAAAAAAAGAGAATAAAAGGCACACTTTGAAGGAAAAATCCAAAGCGCTTCTTAATGGATGGGATTTCAGTCACCCTTAGAAGCTGGCAGCGGTGGTCCCAGGACTGCTATGTGATCTTGATCCAGGATGGTGAGGGCAACACCATTTCGAGCATTTCCAGACACTGCAGTCTTGAGCACCAGTGATCTAACTACCTTCTGATTTTTTTCTGGGTCACTCGGATGTATTGGTATCAAGGTTTCATATATACATCCATCAGAGCCTGTTGAAAACAAGTATTTGTTGTTCATTATTGGATAAAGAACAGTTAGTTATCTGTTATAGTTAAATGCATGCACTAGGCTGTTTATGAGATTTTACCAATCTAAGATCTAATGAGAAAAATTAACAAATGTAACAACCACTTCACTCTATGTTTTCTTTCACTTAAATGATATACTATAAACTTAAAATTGAGGGAGTATTATTAAAATCTCAGTAAGAAATGTATAATATTAGCCAAGAAATAAAAACTGTAAATACCTGTAATAAAATATGAGGGGGGACTGTCAGAAATACAGATACTCTAGTCAGTGAAAGGACAGATCTCTCATTAGACATTAATCAGCACTCTGGTCTATACATTACAGTTCTTGTTACTCTATCACCCCAAAAACCATATGAAATTGCTGTTTTTTTAGTAGAGCAATTGAATTTTAGCAATTCCATGTAGTTCTAGCTATGTTACAGGAAGATTTTGTGATCTTTTCATTTAGACTCCCTTACTTCAATGTTCAATAAGCAAATATAACTCACAAACTTCTATTTAACAATAAATATGTCCTATAGGTTAAACTTTAAGAAAACTAGTGTCTCTTATTTTTATTATTTTTTATTTTTTTATTTTAGTTTATTATTTTTAAAAGATTTTTATTGGGGAATTGGGGGATGGGAACAATGCTGGGGAATTGGGGGAAGGGGAACAGACAAGTTGCTGTCGTTTTGTTCTTCAGTCTAGTTGTGGAGGACGTCGCTTCACTGGCCCAAGTTGGCACCATCATTGCACTCTTCCCAGGCGAGGCAGATCAGTCGCCGGCTTCTGGACGGCCACTCACTGCGGCTGCTGGCCGCTCACGCTGGCTGCTGGCTACACACAGTAGCCCATGGCAATCCACTGCCACAGGGGCTGCAGCCTACGCCATCGCCGGTGACTCACGGCAGCCCACCTCCAGGTTGAGTTGTTGTTCAGCATCTTAGTTGTAGAGGGCAGTGTCACTGGCCCTCATATGTAGGATCCGAACCGGGGTCCTCTGGCGTCCCAAGCCAGTTCTTAACCATCGTGCCACTCGGCTGGCCCTTTATTATTTTTTTTTAGCTGAGCCATCCTGCCACCTGTTGGCAGCTCAGCGGCAGCTCAGCTCGGGCCAGGAATCTAACTGGCGACCCTGTTGCTCAGAGCTCGCACTCTTGAGTGAGCTCTTAACCAACTGAGCCACTTGGCCGGCCTACGAAAACCAGTGTCTCTTAAGCAAAAGTATTAAGTTGATTCCACTGATCTAGATATGATAAATGATAGGAGCATTTTTCTTAATAGCTATTACATACATTTGCACATTGAAAAATTTCACAAAAAGTTTTAATTGTGATACTATGGAAATGTTTCCTAAATATTGCTTTTTTTTATCCCCTCCCTTAACCTTCTCAAAACAACTTCAAAAGAAGCCATAATGGGTAGGGGGAAGGGAAGACCACAAAAGCATTTTTTTCCCCTAGGCATAAGAGTGGGGTTATTGGGCTGGCAGAGTGCTACATTAGTTAAGAGCTGGCTTGGGATGCCAGAGGGCCCCGGTTTGGATCCCACATGAGGGCCAGTGACACTGCCCTCTACAGCTAAGATGCTGAACAACAGCTCAACCTGGAGCTGGACTGCTGTGAATTGCCGGCTACGGCGTAGGATGCAGCCCCTGCTGCAGTGGGTTGCCATGGGCTACTGTGTGTAGTCAGCAGCCAGAGTGAGCGGCCATCCAGAAGCCAGTGACTGATCTGCCTCGCTCGGGAAGAATGCAATGATGGTGCCAACCTGGGCCAGTGAAGCAACGTCCTCCACAACAAGACTGAAGAACAAAACAACAGCAATTTGTCTGTTCCCCTTCCCCCAATTCCCCAATAAAAAAAAAAAATCTTAAAAAAAAAAAAAGAGTGGGGTTATTCATTAGACCTTTACATTAAACCTTTACAGAGATAAACTCCAAAGCATTAAAATAAATCTGTAAAACAATGGCTGGCATAGGCCAAGAGTGCTGTTAGTCAGCTTTTACCCACCTGTCTTGGTCACTGTACAAAGACTAGTACACTAAATCTTAAGGTTGGAAAAGAGAAGTGCAGAGACCATTCAATACAAACCTTAGATATTTTATAGTTCATTAATTACAATATCAAAGAATCTGACCTTAACATGTTAAAGATAAAAGGTGATTCCCGTCCTTTTTTTATTAGTATATTATCATCTATTGTTCATGATAATTTTTTTTTTTTAATTTTATTGAGGAACAGCCATGTCATTGGTTACACATTGCTTTCATGCCACAATGGCATAGTTGATTCTTGTAGGGAGGGTGAAGACAAAATGGCCCATGCGGGGATTGAACCCACAACTTTGGTCTTAACAGTACGACGCTCTAACCAACTGAGCTAACCAATCATCCCCGATATGATAAATTTTAAGACATAAAAGTTACCTGCAGAGAACCACTGACTTAATGCATGTCCTAGATATGGCAAAGTGTGAAAAGCGAAGGCAATAATGCTGGTTCAGGAAGCATGCAAAGGGAAGTGCTAAAACAGAAAACTGCAAAAACCTCACACTCTGACTCAAAAGAAAGCACTATCCTGCAATATTCCTCTATTTGCAATTGCTGAAAGTTTAAAGGAAAATACTTACTCAATGACATCAAAGAGATGAATTTCCGATCCACAGATGCAGAAAAACTCTGTATAACAGTTTTTTCTTCTTGTCCAAGTAAGAGTGTGTATTTGCTTAAGATACGTGAGTTAAACATTTGTACATAAGCAAAGTAATTTCCATGCTGCAAAAGAAGGTTATTTTATTTTTTAAATATTCTCATTTCAAACAACTATGCTTAAATGTTAAAACCAGTTGTTGCCCCATTCTAATTACTTCAATAGGTGCTTAAAAATCTCTTGTCCAATTTAAAATGTTATAAAATGTTTAAGTTAGGCATAGAAATATAACTAGTAAGCTTTTTATTGGGTTGTCGGAAAAGTCATGACATATTTTTTCTGTTTTTCGTTGCAAAAATGCGTCATGACTTTTCTGACAACCCAGTAGTATTTAAAAGACACAAAATAAAAAAATCTTTTGGGAGGAAATACTAAAGTCCAATTTTAGTTTATAAAATAATATATGTGATTTTAAAATGCCACACACCATGGGCCAGGAATTAGACACATCACTTACTTTTTCAGTAATGAAGACTAAAACAGGATGTCTAAATACCATGAAGAACTTTGTCCACCTAAAAAAAAAAAATGTCAAATCACCAGTAGAAACATACCATCAATCTAAATTTATGAGAGTATCTTAGATTAAATATTTTGAGAGCCAGAGTCATCAGAGAATATTTAATTCAGTGTTTCAAAATCTCTACCATGGGGAGTAGGCATTTCTCTGTCAAATGCATCTCTGGATTAAACGCAAGCTGCTGAACTCCCCAGAGATTTAAAGACAATAATGTAAACTGTAAAGTTTCCAAGGAGGGAGTGGGGTGTGACAATAAAGTGTTTCCCAAACTTATTTGACAGCCCCTCCATTTTTTCAGTTGGTTTTAGGACTAGTGTTCAGAGGAAAACCTTAGGTTCTCAACTGCCTTCTTCAAGTGACAGAGGAAATGAGGCGCAGGAGGGTAAGGGGCTTGTAACTAAGGCGGCATATCCAGTTTTGGGCAATATGGCTCTTAGAATCCAGATGTTCTGCTGGTATCTTTTTTCCTAAAGATTTCCTCCAAAACACAGTTGCTCACACTTTAGAGGCATTCAACAGGGAAGTCCAAGAGATAACTGGCCATTGTCCGTGTTGTTCACTTACTTTTAGAAATTTAGTTTGATTCAGGTGGGCATAGAGAGGCAGCAAGCTAACTGAACAGAAAATGGGATAGCATAATGGGGATTGAAGAGATGTGAAATCATGAAATTTCCCTGTATCATTTGGGTGAGTCATTTCCCCAGTTTTATTACTGAATCTGGGAAATAGAGGGCTCAAAGCACTATCATTTCACTAACAACAAGCTGTACATTTCTTCTGGGGGAAGGGTTTCGACCTTGGCAGTCAGGGCAATGTAACAGAAACAAATAATTTTTTTTGTTGTGGGATTACCTACTTCATCTTCAAATAGCTGACTATCCAGTTTTCTATCATTAGAACAAGACTCATATGGCCCCTACAGCTTCCTCAATCGTCTATCATCCTAGAGGCTTTGTGGGATGTTATTTTGGTTATCTTATAAATGGGTTTTTCTTTTTAAGGTTTTTTATTGGGGAATTGGGGGAGGGGAACAGTGTTGGGGAATTGGGAAAGGGGAACAGTGTTGGGGAATTGGGGAAGGGGAACAGCCAACTTGCTGTCCTTCAATCTTAGGAGGGCGCAACAAGCTCAGCTCAAGGTGCTGTGTTCAATTAGTTGCAGATGGGTGTAGCCAACATCCCATGTGGGAGTTGAACCAGCAGCCAGCCTTGTTGTTAAGAGCGCATGCTCTATCCACTGAGCTGCCCGAGCGGCAGCTCAGCTCAAGGTGAGTCTTTAGTTGCGGGTGGGCGTAGCCCACCATCTGGAACAGGCAACTTTGTTGTTAAGAACATGTGCTCTCACTAGCTGAGCCATCCTGCCACCTGTAGGCAGCTCAGGAGCAGCTCGGCTCGGGCGCAGCTCACTGGCCCATGTGGGAATTGAACCGGTGACACTGTTGTTCAGAGCTTGCATTCTTGAGCAAGCTCTTAACCAACTGAGCCACTCGGCTGGTCCATAAATGTTTTTTAATTAGGTTACTTCTATTGTGTTTGTAACCAAAATACTTTTTTTTTTTTAAAGTGATGTTTTCTGTTTTTTGTTTTTGTTTTTTTTTATTGGGGAGTTGGGGGACTGGGAACAGTGCCGGGGAATTGGCGGAAGGGGAACAGACAAGCCGCTGTCCCTCTTGCTCTTCAGTCCAGTTGTGGAGGACGCCACCCCACTGGCCCAAGCTGGCACCATCATTGCGCTCCTCCTGAGCGAGGCAGATCAGTCACCGGCTTCTGGACGGCCGCTCACTGCAGCCGCCGGCCGCTCACTGCAGCCGCCAGCCACTCACGCTGGCTGCTGGCCACACGCGGTAGCCCATGGCAACCCACTGCCACAGGGGCTGAAGCCTACACCGTCGCCGGGGATTCAGGGCAGCCCAGCTCCAGGCTGAGCCGTTGTCCAGCATCCCAGCCGTAGAGGGCAGTGCCACTGGCCCTCACATGCGGGATCCGAATCGGGGCCCTCTGGTACCCCAAGCCAGCCCCCAACCATCGCGCCACTCGGCCGGCCCCCAAAATACTTTTTAACAAAGCAAAAAATGTTATAAAAAAACATGCAGAGTGCATTTTTATTTTGGTAAAAATTCACTTACTGAGTATTGGAACTTACTTAATTACTTCTTCATCAGAGATAACAGTTTCAATTTTCTGCTGGGGCTCTGCAAGTAAGGCCTCTAAACCACGAACGGCACCTTCCTTGAACAGCACCAAGGGTTCTGTCCCTTGTATTGAATGGATCCTATATACCTCAGCTGACAACTACAAGAACATAACAATCCTTTAATTTTTATTCTGAAACAACTGCCACCTAATAGAATAGGACATTTATAGAAGGCTTATTTTTAAGAACTGATTTGCTTTCATTTTGATTCAGTTGTTGTATAACTATGTATGGTTCCAAAGTCAAATCTATAACATAAAATACATACAGAAGTCTTAACTTTTGCTCCTATTCCGTCTACCCTGACCCCTCCTCTCCCCCTTAAGTAATCATTTTTATTCATTTTTGGTTTATCCTTCCAATGTGAATACTAGAAGTTAGGCTACAACCAAAACTGGAGGTGGGGAGAGGTACAAATAAAGCCACTAATGTAGTTTTAAGAGATTCTGGTCCTAGGGAAAGATTGATGCCATAATTACAACTATAGCCTGCAAACTCCTTTTTGGATAACATTCAGAAATGTGTTACTGCAAGGTAAATGAAAAAGACTGAAGCCAGGAAACAGCACAGTTAAGTTTCAAGGATCCAGACAACTGTCATTATATCTGAATCAGCACTATTGTGAGTCACTTCTAAAATGTGCCAATGGGGCCAGCTGAGTGGCTCAGTTGGTTAAGAGCTCGCTCAAGAGTTTGAGCTCTGAGCAACAGCGGTTCGAGTCAGCCCGAGCTG